GGCGGGGGGCCGAGGAGGGGAAACCCTCGAAGGACGCCGCCGACGCGGCACCGCACCTCGCTCCGCGCCACCGACTTTTGCACCACCAAATACGCCCCCCCCTCCTTCCTCCCAACGCGCAGCAGTGCCGCACTGGGCTTGTGGGGCCCTACGGCCCCGCCGCGCTCCGCCGCGCCCCGCCACGCCGCTGCCCGTCATGTCCTGTCCCGCCCAGCCCCATATTTTACGCAGCCCCCTGGCCTCGGCCCGCCCCTGCCGCCGCCGCCCTCTCCGCCACGCCCCTCGCTCCCTCTCGTTCGCGTTTCACGCTTGTTTCGCTGCTTTTTCTGACGATTTTTTCCGTCCCTCCTTTTCTTCTTCGTTCTCTCGAGTCTGCTTGCGGGGCGATTTTTCCTGCGCGATCTCGGCCCAAGTCCTGCGCCCAAGGGTCCACCAAAATTCGAACTCGCTCGAGACAATCGCCGCGCCGAGGCGAGGGGTCGTGTTCGGGGGCGGGGGTGGGCGCGAGTGGTTGTCCATCGCAAGGCCTCCACGGCGACGGCGCGGGGGCGAAGGACGGAAAGTTGTAATTTGGCGTAAAAGTTTGGAAAACGGCGCGGCAGAGTGGTCGCCCGATCTTTTTCCAAGAAAATGGAGAAAATAAATTAGCGTCGGGTCGGAGCAGCGGGGTCGGGTCGCAGCCGCCGCGCAGGCCTTCCTCCGGCAGATGTGAGTGGGGCCCGAGGCCCGACCCGACCCGGCCGGGCGGGGCCCTGCTATCTGTAGGGCTGCGGGGGCGGGGCGGGGGCCAGGGGCTGCCGGGGCCATGTGCAGGAAGTCACAAATGTTTTTAGTGGGTTTCGCTGTCACACGGGGGCAGCGGCGTGCCGGCCGGGGGCGCGGTGCTGCAGCAGTCGCAGAGTGAGCGGTCCTGCTGCAGCAGCAGCGGTCATTTCCACCACCAACGGCAGCAGCAGCGGCGGCGGCGGGAGGGAGGGAGGGAGGGCTTTGCCGTTGCTGGGCGCGGCAGCGGCGGTGGTGGGCGACGCGTTCCCGGAACTTGGGACGTGGAACGGAGGGTCGGGGCGGGGCGGGGAGTGCGAGCGGGCGGGCG